TAAATACTCAGTAGCTCCAACTGATGACAGAAACAGCTTGAGCTCAAATAAACAAACATTTTTCAGTGCTGTCTTTTAAAACATGTTAACTTAGAAAAGGATACTTATTGTTTTCATACACCAATCAGCCATAACATCATCCTTGTTTCTATGCTGATTGTCCATTTTATCAGCTCCACTTACTATATAGGTGCACTTTGTAGTTCTACAGTTACAGACTGTAGTCCATCTGTTTCTCTGCATACTTTGTTAGCCCCCTTTTACCCTGTTCTTCAGTGGTCAGGACCCCAATGGACCCTCGCAGAGCAGGTACTATTTGGGTGGTGAATCATTCTCAGCACTGCAGTAACACTGAAGTGGTGGTGGTGTGTTAGCGTGTGTTGTGCTGGTCTGAGTGGATCAGACACAGCAGTGCTGCTGGAGTTTTTAAACACTGTGTCCACTCACTGTCCACTATATTAGACACTCCAACTTTGTCAGTCCACCTTGTAGATGTAAAGTCAGAGACGATAGCTCATCTGCTGCTGCACAGTTTGTGTTGGTCTGTAACGGCTGATGAATGTTCAGACGAGCGCAGAGCAGGCTATAGTAAAACGTTTTTAATGTAGGGAGAATCCTTAATCGAAGTACAAGCAGTCGAGGATCGGTACACATGAAATCAAAACAGCGTCCAAAAGGGTAAGGCAAAAGTTGTAAACACAAAAACAGGCAGAATATCAAAAACCGGAAAGTCAATACACAAAAACAAGGCTCGGTAATGCACAGGGACGTAACAATACTTCGCAAAGACAAAACGTGGTAGACAAACATTTATAGTCCTTGAAACAGGTGTAAGCAATCAATACTCAGGTGAGTGTGAACGTTGGTAGGCGGATGGCTGAGAGTTCCTGATCATGTGACCTCCCAGTGAATTCTGGGAGTTGGAGTGCTGGACGGAGTGAGGGATGTCGGTCTCTGCTACAGAAGGCATGACATGGTCATCCTCTAGTCCTTCATCAGTGGTCAAGGGACGCTGCCCACAGGACGCTGTTGGCTGGATATTTTTGGTTGGTGGACTATTCTCAGTCCAGCAGTGACACTGAGGTGTTTAAAACTCCAGCAGCACTGCTGTGTCTGATCCACTCAGACCAGCGCAACACACACTAACACACCACCACCACGTCAGTGTTACTGCAGTGCTGAGAATGATCCACCACATGATTTGCCTCAGTGTGATCAATGATTTGAGAGTAATTATTGCTGATAGTAATAATTGTTCCTAATTTTTTTCCAGCAGTCTTTTATGTCCTTTTGAGTACTTTGGGAACAATAGTGGTTCTGAAACTTCAGCGGTTTCACACAAATGTGACAGTAGTTTTTCTTGCTTTCAGAAAAAGAAATTACAGAAGACATTTTTCAGCGACAGCCATTGTTTCCTCCTGTGCTGTCATTGATACATCCTGAAAATCAGTCTCACTGTCAGCACCTCTGATCTCCAAGAGCTCTTTTCTTGTAGGTGTTACAGTGACTGATCTGGATGGACAGAAGTCATTTGCTCCACAGCCTAAAGCTGCAGCTTCCTATGACAGTTTGATTTGTGAGACTGGCTTCACCTGAACTTTTCCTGAAAGTATATCTTCTCATTCTCTGATTCATCATCTGCTTCTACATCTGATTCACCATCTCATTCATCATCTGATCCATCATCTAATTCTACAGCTGTCAACTGCTCCTCATAACAAAATGTCAGCTTCTTCTCCCAAACAAGCTCCTTCCCTGGCCTTCAGACACTGTTTCCCAGTGTCTTTGCTTGCATGCTTTAGATCTAACTCTGAACAGCAAGATTTGGTGAACTTAAACCGACAGCTTTCACTTTCTGTTCACTAATTTGGGCCTTGTTTTCATATCCTATTGCAGCTCCACTGAACTGTTTGTTTCACTATCTGAGTATCGGAACATAGAAGATCACAACACTCAGTATAAAATGGTAACAGTTCATTAAGGAAACTGTAAATATTCTTACCCATGACACCAGATCTCTGTCATTCTTTTCAAGTTTTCAGAGCAGGATTTGTTTCAAAAACAAGATCAACTACAAGAGAGAACAAATAAAGCACAGCTGCCAATGAAATACACAGTAATTTAAGGAACACTCCTCAACTGCAGCTTTCACTTAAGGAGATGACTGACAGCAGCACATGTAGTCCAGTGTTTATTCAGAACTGTTAAAGATTTTGATCAGCATCAAAAACAAATCAAACCCATTTTTCAAAACTATCTTTATTCTCCATTGTGTGGAATCAGGTTAAATAATTTAGAGTTTTACAAAACAGTCTAAAACAATCACTTTCAAAATGGCATATCAAAAATATCACAATGTGATAAACATAAGAGTGGCCACCTTAATATGAAATAAAGGCATATTCATAAAGACATGCTATTAATCATTTACTGTTTTAAATATCATGCAACAGGTATGTGATGCAACAGGTCCAACACACACAGGGCATTTATTCCTACTTGAAACAGTTGCAGGGACTCACTCGTGTTTAGAGTTCTGTTGGCAGAAATGTCATGATTTAATCAGAGAATCTGTTCAAATCCAGAGAATCATAGTTTAAAATTCTATAGTCCAAAAATAACAAAAATAAAAATTATTTTCATCATCTGAGAACAGGAACTGTCTGCAGTCTTTTGTAATGATTAAATCATTAAAGAGCCCATAATCTAAATGATAATTTTTATTTTTCTTCCGAGCTTCACTTATAATGTTTGTGTGTTTTATGTATCAAAAACAGTCATCATTCATTTTTCAATCACCATTTTTCAACTTTTTTTTATCCTTTTGAAATAAACAGGCTGTTTTTGTTTCTGTGCTTTTAAACTTCATATAAATGAGCTCTGCTCTGATTGGCTGCACTGTATTGTGCTTCATTCAAAAAACAGTCCAGGCTGAAACACTCTTATAACTTCAGTGTGAGTGGGTGGGGCTAAACTGCTGTAGGCTGAATGTGTATAAATGTGTACATTTTCATGACATCACAGGAACAACAAATTCACAAAGGGCTGTTTTTGTAGTTTAGTTTCCAATGGCTGAATGTTCTGGGAGCGACTCTGACAGTGTTCAAACACCACATCCAGCTCTTATTTAAAAAGGGTGTAGAACATTCAGTTCTCCATGATTTGGGCCCTTTAATAGAACACTTAACGGTGAGTGAACTTCATTCACTGTGACCTCTTGTGCTGCTCCTCAGGCTGGAACTGGTCCTTCTTGGTCACCAGAGGGTTAGTTGTGACCAGAACATCTGTCTCAGCAATGTTCCAGAAACAGAAATAAAATTCAGAAATGTGGTTCCAACCGTGATCTGATTGGCTGCATTAGACCACTGTTCTTGTAGTTGTAGTACATCTTTTTCATTTGCTCTCTGTAAATATATGATTATGAAAATCAATGCAGAAGTATAAACATATAAGTATAAGTATAAATGAAAACATCTGCACAGTTAATCTTGTTTTCATTCACAATGAATGTTCATCTTTAAATACCGTAATATCTCCATATTAATGCTCCTTATAGCAAATAAACACAGATGGGTTTTCCCTCTACTAGTGTTGTTTTAATTTTGGGCTAACAGGGTCATCATTCATCAAGTCTCCAGAGAGAGTCGTCTTCCAGAGCAGCAACAACACTGAAACATATACAAACAAATAAAACATAACAGAACTTTCAGTTCTAGAACCACAAAAACAAAAGAAAAACAAATTAAAAAATTAGCACATCAGCATGTCCTCACATATTACACTGACCAGCCACTTCATTAAGGCCACCTTCTTGTTTCTACACTCACTGTTCCCTCTGTGTTCCAAAAGAAAACCTCCCTTATCAGAATGGACACAGCTGAATACTCCACAGTCTACGAGAGAAAACAGAGAACAGAGATCTTTGTCTTTATAAACAGGTGTAACATTTGCTGCCTCTTCTTCTGGATTAAGTTCTCTTTCTCAGCTTCATAGCAGCCATTTTCCATGATGGCTCTACTCTTTATAAAAAAAATCACTGATAAGTGTTATTTTGTTCTTTTCCTATATGAAATATTTTACTCTTGTATAAATAGTGTAGCATAGTTAGTGAAGGAAAAGAAAAGGCATGATGACCAGAACAGACTTAATGACCAGCAACTACAGAATAACTGGGCTTTAATAACCAGTACAAACTTACCTGGGATTATTTTAAGCCATTTTAACAGTGTGATTTGGGCGCTGAAGTGATTTAGTGAGTTATATATAGGTATGAATGCTATTTTAAGACAATGACATATTCAGATATTTAAACTCTGTAAAAAAAGAACGACAAAACTAGCACATATTCAGCGTTTAAACCCCATACACAACAGAGAACGAATAAACTGACGCATGTTCAGGCATTTAAACCCCATAAACGACAGAGAATGAATAAACTGGCGCATATTCAGTGTTTAAACCCCATAGACATCAGAGAACGAATAAACTGGCGCATATTCAGTGTTTAAACCCCATAAACGACAGAGAACGTATAAACTGGCGCATGTTCAGTGTTTAAACCCCATAAACGTCAGAGAACGAATAAACTGGCGCATATTCAGTGTTTAAACCCCATAAACGACAGAGAACGTATAAACTGGCGCATGTTCAGTGTTTAAACCCCATAAACGTCAGAGAACGAATAAACTGGCGCATCTTCAGTGTTTAAACCCCATAAACGACAGAGAACGTATAAACTGGCGCATGTTCAGTGTTTAAACCCCATAAACATCAGAGATTGAATAAACTGGCGCACATTCAAGCGTTTAAACCCCATGAACGACAGAGAACGACAAAACTAGCACAAATCTAATCGAATCAGCTGAAAGGTCCTTGTAAACTACAAAAACCAACACGCTCACACAAACACAAAAACACAAACAGACAAACTCTGTCACACACACATTCACACACACACACAAAAAAAAAAAATACACTCTAATGTCTCTTCTTGTGTGCAGATTCCTGTGAGGTCACTCTGGATCCAAACACAGCGCACAGTTCTCTCTGTCTGTCTGAGGGGAACAGAAAGGTGCAGCGTGTGGAATTTTTACAATCATATCCTGAACATCCAGAGAGATTTGATGAGTGGTATCAGGTTCTGTGTAGAGAGAGTCTGACTGGACGCTGTTACTGGGAGGCTGAGTGGAGCGGAGATGTTAATATAGCAGTAACATATAAATCAATCAGCAGGAAAGGACGCAGTGATGACTGTCTGTTTGGACGGAATGAAAAGTCCTGGATTCTGTGCTGCTCTAATAAGAGATACTTTGTCCGTCACAATAAGAACAGAACTATTCTCTCTGCTCCTCCCTCCAGCTCTGATAGAGTAGGAGTGTACGTGGACTGTCTGGCAGGCTCTCTGTCCTTCTACAGTGTTTCCTCTGATACAAACACAATGACACATCTACACACATTCAAAACCACATTCACTGAACCGCTCTGCGCTGGGTTTTATGCTGATTATTACTCCTCAGTGTGTTTAAAATAAAATAACCTCCTGAGCAAACACACACACACACAGAAAACATACACACACAGAAAACACACACACACACACACACACACACTAGCATACACACACAGAAAACACACACACACACACACAAAACATACACACAGAGAAAACACACACACACTAGCATACACACACACAGAACGCAGTGCCTTAAAAAACAGAAAACTGAACTCTTTCTGTCTATCTCTATATTTGTGTCTCTCTCTCTCTCTCTGTCTGTCTGTTTGTCTCTCTCTGTCTCTCCATCTATCTCTCTCTCTCTCTCTCTCTCTCTCTCTCTCTATCTATCTATCTCTCCTTATTGATTTGTGTGGTGTGACTTCATGTGATTTGGGTTTGCTGTACATAGACCAAGAAAAAGCATTTGATAGTGTTGACCATTCTTATCTTTTTAGTACTTTACAAAGTTTTGGGTTGGGGAGAGTCTTTTTATCCTGGGTTCATCTTTTATATTCCGGTGCCTCAGTCATGCTTAAAGTCAGTGGTGGACTCAGTTGTCCGATTAAGATGCTAAGGGAAATTAAACAGGGGTGTCCTCTGTCTGGGCAGCTGTATAGCCTTGCAACTGAGCCTCTGTTATAGAGCTTGAGGTCTAAGTTGCAAGGGTTGCAGGTGCCAGGGTTAGCTGATAGGGAGAGAGTATTGTTTAAATAAAGTGGGTTGTTTACATAAAGTGGGTTTACAAGTCAAGTCTCTCTCTCTCTCTCTCCTTATTACTCTTTTCTGAATTCGACTCTAGTATTTTTCACTTATAATGTTTGTGTGGTTTTATGTATAAAACAGTAATTATTCATCTTCACATGATCGTTTTTTTTTATCTTTTTTCTTTATAATTAAATAGTCTGTATTTGTTTCTGTGCCTTTAAGACTGATATATATAAATAAGGTCTGTTCTGATTGGCTGTGCTGTGTTGTGTCTCATTTATAAAGCAGTTCAGTTTGTGTTTCTCTGGTTTGGAGGTGATTTAGATGGAGATGACGTACAGGATCAGTGGAAGATCGATAAAGAACTGATTAAACTGATTAAATGATCATAAATAAAATAAAGTGTTGATAAACTCACATCTGATTTATTTGCACCTGAATAGACGAAGCAAACTGAGCTTAAAGTGAAACTGAAACACCTTTCAGGGTGAATAGAGGAAAACAGGTTAGCATAGAGCTAACAAGCTATTTCACAGCTAGCAGGTTAGCATAGAGCTAAATAGCTACCTCAGCTAGCAGGTTAGCATAGAGCTAACAAGCTATTTCACAGCTAGCAGGTAAGCATATAACTAACACTGTGTCCAACTCCGAGTAATACTGGATTAGTGTTTCTGGTTGGAGTTTGTAATGGTGAATATTACTGGATCAGTGTTTCTGGTTGGAGTTTGTAATGGTGAATATTACTGGATCAGTGTTTCTGGTTGGAGTTTGTAATGGTGAATATTACTGGATCAGTGTTTCTGGTTGGAGTACGTAATGGTGAATATTACTGGATCAGTGTTTCTGGTTGGAGTTTGTAATGGTGAATATTACTGGATTAGTATTTCCCGAGTTTGTAATGGTGAATATTCCTGGATTAGTGTTTCCGGTTGGAGTTTGTAATGGTGAATATTACTGGATTACTGTTTCCGGAGTTTGTAATGGTGAAAGTTAGCAGTGTTTTGTAGCCTCTGTGCACTACTTCTAAACAGAAACAGCCACATTTGAGTTTTCATTCATTTCCATCTGATGATGAGTTCAGAAGGAAAAACAGCACATATGTGTGCAGCGCTCATTTCAACCCATCGGACATCTACGTTACACCGAAGGGACAAAACGTGTCTGATAAGGGGCCGCAGCACCAGTCAACAAGCAAAGGAGTGGGTGTATAGCAGATTGAGGGCCGCCTCGGAGACTCTACTAATGAGGAGGAGGGGGTGGTGGAGCAGGATATGTCAGGGATAGAGGAGGAAGAACAAAGGTGGACGCAGTAGACGCAGTGGAGGACGCAGTGGACGTAGTGGAGGATGCAGTGGACGCAGTGGAGGATGCAGAGGACGCAGTAGACGCAGTGGCATGGGATGCAGAGGATCCCAGTAGACCCAGCGGCACAGGACCATGACTATGTGACTCGGCCAGCTCCTGGTGAGTTCCTGTAAACTTGAGATATACAGCTCATACTGTTCAGGCTGTAAGTTATGATTATCAAAGTAAAGATAGCTTTGAATTCTATCGCTCTCATTTCCTCTCTGAGACCCTCTGTTTGTGTTTGGATGTGTACTTAACTGTGGATAAGATACTACACCAAATTTCCTCCTGAGCAACATTTCACTGTTTTTTGGAGGTCTATTGAGCCACCTGCAAGCAGACTCGTTTACTGGAGCAAAGCACAGAAAATGGGAATAGAGGCTGCTGGACAGGCAACACCAAGTCCATCCCATAAGCTGCAGCTCATAGATGAGTTTGTCATGTATTCCATCAAACTGCAGTTGGTTTAAAGGAGTGTGTCAGCAGGATCATCATCACATGGGCCAACTACTTGTATGCAGTCCTTGGTTCAATACCGATATGGATGACACGGGAACAAGTGAAACAGAACTTTCCCCCGAAGTTTCAGAAATGCTGACCAAACGTAAGAATTACTCTGGACTGCACAGAGCTGCCAAACACAGAGACTTTTTCAATGGACAAATCCCACACAGCATTCAAGGGTCTCACTGGAGTTTCTCCAAGTGGGGTTTTTACCTTTGTCTCCAAGCTGTTCAATCTCAGACAAGGAGATCACAAGGTTGTCTGGTATCAGGGATCTTCTGGAGCGTGGGGATGAGGTCAGGGCAAACAAGCGTTTTCATATTGAAAATTTGTTGTGGGGCAAAACTCATTATTCCATCTTTCAAACCCTCAGTTTACTAAAGAGGGGACAGAGCGAACACAAGCCATCGCACGATTGAGGATTATTTTGGAACAAGTAATTCAAAAAGTAAAGGAGTTTCACATCTTTGACTCTGTAATTCCTCGTAGACTCTTAAGCTCCTTCCAAAACACACTTCGTCATATTCTTCATAACTTTCATATTTCATAAGCCACATTCAAAAGGTGGGTGTCATATGAGAGCTTTAACTGTCTTTTTTCCAGTCAAATAGATGGGTGATGTAATTTTAAACCCTTATAATAAAAGAAGCTGAACTCACAATTTTTTTCTACTGAAAGTCGACCCATTTTTCCACAAATCTGGGCTATAAACTATAAACAGACGGCATCTCTTCAGTGATCTGATCTGTAAAAATTATTTTTTATAAAAAAATACAAAGAGCATCTAAGATTTTTGGCTTTCGGCAGTAAATTGTAAACATATAGCAATATGTGTGATCATAAAACACATGTTCTGTTAATTTGAGGGGAGCTTTTACAAAATAAATAAATAAATAAATAAAATAAAAATTTACATTTATTTCATGCAGTTACTTATTAATTTGCCTTACTATTTGGTCATGGATACTCAGATGGACAAACCAAAATATACTCTGGAGAATAAGAGGTTAAACTAGCTGGCAGCATAAATCAGATATGGGTCAAATGCTTTCTCCTGGTGAACTACCAAGAACCCGTGGAACTGGAACCAAACTGATTGAGTCCCCTGGCAGCACTGCTCCTTGTTGTCAGCTTGTAAGTACTTCAAATTAAAACACACTGGAGGACTGTGTGATGATGGAAGTGAGACCTGGCACATCACCAAGACTGTTTTAGAGCGTTACACCTGAATGAAAGAGACATTTAAAAGGACTAAAATGTTGATACTCTAGTTCTGTAGAATTGGCTCTGCAGCAGTCTGTCTTCTTCTAGGGGTGGGTTGGTGCCGTTGTGATCCCGGGAGAGGAGTAACAGTAGCTAAAAACCTGTAAGAAGAAATGAACGAGTTAAGCAACGCTGTAGCTCAATGTATACTTACCTGTAAAGATGAGAAAATGGTCATGTAAATACTGACTACACTGTTCTTGTAATGCATGTCTGTGCAGCCTTGCGGCTTCCGGGTGAGTAAATGTGACAGACTGAGTGTTAGTCAGTTGGAAAGAGGGACTGCAGGAGAGCCAATACAGTCACTGTAGCAGAAACTGTTTTAAATACTATCAGGATTGTAAATACTTTCTACAAGTTGAGTGTTTGAACTTAATAAAAAAAGAGCACTTGAACTTGTCTGGATATGAATGTGCAGTCTGTCCAAGGCAAACCCAGTTCTCAGAGTAACATGTTTTATGGCTGAAATAGGAAGGAACTGTGAGAGACACTAAATAGTTATCCCTTCCATCTCAGGCTAGCATCTCTGTTTGTTAGCAGCAAACAAAAAGCAGCAGTCAACAAAGTAAGTGTGGTATATTTTTATTTATATTTCTTAATTAAACATTAACATTAGTAAGATAGAATTATTAATTTGGCTTCAATGCAATATTTTGAAATCCTTCATTTCCTTAATGTTTTCATTCTTTATAGGCAGATATAAGAAGTAATGGATTAACTCATAACAGGTAACAGACTGTATGAATGTTCAGAGAAAAATGTGAATTTTCTTTAAAAAGTCTTATGAATGAACTTTGATGCAGAGAACATAAACCAGTGTTTGGACAGGTAGGAGTCGATGTAGACATTGAAGTAGAACACATCAAGGTTTTCTTTCAGCATGACTATAAATGTCTCATCCCTCCAGATTCCCTCCACAGTGAAATCACTCTTTGGTGTCAGTGATGAAGTCACACCAAGCCAGGCCAGTAATGGCTAACTGACCTTGAACCTGTGTGTAGTATTTGAGTGACCATTTCAGGTGTGCTTTTCCACTGGCAAGTCGGACATGAGGAACATGGGCGATGGATTCAACATTGGGACACTGCACTTCCACTATTCCAAATGGTGGATCTTCTGTGGGGTCAGCCACTTTGCCATCAGGACTAGCACCAAGATGGGGAGCATCAGGATGGACCACCAAACCACAGGGCAGGACGCTGACTTGGAAACTTTCTGCATACTTTGTGAGGACCTCAGGCTCCAGTGCAAGCCCACACTTCATGGCTTCTGTTTGGTAAACTCCCTTTAATATGTGCAAAGACA